GAGTAACAGAACTAGCTGATGGTCTAAAATTAGATTAAATATCTTTGTAAAATAATAAAATTTGCAAATAATTCTATTAAAATAAACGCGAAAATGAGCTAACACCACGTTGTCACCTTTCACATACATTGGGACGTCGACGTCAAAAACTTTTAAATCAAGCTTTTTAATTATTGTACACATATTTGCTAATTTAGTTTTTATAGCAGCAAAGATACAAATGCTAAAATTTGACTATTTTCACTAAAGATCTCGTGAACTGTTAGTAATGCWGAAGTGAAACTGTTGTTTACCTCTGAGTAAAGCCATAATGTAGGTTCACCAGTCCTCTCTTCAAACGGGATTAAACTTTCAAACAAATATTTCTTGCTAATTTAGCAGTCCAGTTACATGCAGACCACGGTGAATATGAATTCGCGTCTACTGCGACCTTTACCCCAAATAATGCAGCGGTTCAATGTTTTTGTTTCGCAGGAGCAGATTCGATAAATTCATTTCACCTAAAATTTACACAAAACTGTTTTTGATTATTAAAACAGTGTTAGCATTTCTATAAATGTATTTGAGTTAAAATGTGTGATATATTGTGTTTTTATTTAATTTTCTGCGTTTAAAAAGACGCGAAAATACTTGCGAGTAAATCCTAGACTTAGTGACGTCATCTCCATGCGACGTGTCTTCGTTATGTCCCTTTAGCAAGTGGACGGCAAAAACGGCATGTGAACATTTTTGTTTGTTTTATTTTCCACGGATTTTCGATCTAAAGGGAACCGACATATTGTGGAGACATGTCTTTGATGTTGTCGCGCTGCCTTTGTGGGGTTTTATCCCGACAGGCTGCCTCGTCACGGTGAGTGTTTAATGCCGGAAAAGTGCGAAATCTTTTCGGAAGGTTATGTGCTTCTCAATTCCGTGCCTCTCCGAGTAAAATATTCTGATTTATGATTATTTATTTTGTGCTGTTTTTTTGCAGTTTGCTGTTTGAAGAACATAAGCATGCTGCACAGAGTCTGTGGTTTTCACCTGTGGTCACCCTGAAAACATCCGCTCCAATGAGGTAAGTCGATTTTACAAGAGAAATTCCTCATCCAGTAGTTTGGCCAATCAGAATTGTATTAAACTGGGCTGGTGTACATCATTTTCAAAAAGAGCTTATGTTAAAACAAATGATGGAAATTGAAACGGTTAAAAAGAGTTTTGAAATGATTTTAAGATAATCAGGGTTAACAAATATATTTCTTAATTCTACAGCTATGGAGGAAGTTATGGCACTGAGAGTACCATAACTGAATTTGTATCAGAACCACATGTACTCTTTTTCTTTTCAAAAGCTCAAAACGTTCTAAACTTCTCAAACATTCATTCATTCATTTTCTGTACCCACATTGTCATTTGTATTTTGAAGCATAATAAATGAATTGATTTCTATATTGAACACATTCCTAAAACACATATAAAGTGACAATTCATGCAGCTGAAGTGCATTTACAAAACCCAAAGCTGTGTAAAACATTGTTTTATAAACAGTTTTGTAACAGCAAAATCTAAAGTCCTTTATCTTCAAATTACAACATACTTTTGAGATTGATTTTCATTTCATCTTTATGAATGAAATGTACTCAGTGTTGTGGTTCATGTTGAACAGAGCGGAGCCTTTAAAGAAGAAGAAAGTGGATCCAAGGAGAGAGATTATGGTGAAAGAGCGAATGAAGAAAAGGCTAAGGAAGCTGGAGAAGGTTCCACCTGAGTTAATCCCCATTGAGGACTTCGTCCCTCCCATCCAACGTTTGATTGAAAAAAAGTACAACTCTTTTTTTACTTTTTTTAGGTTTTTCATGAATGTGATTTGCAAATGATCTCGTTGTGATGCAGTTTATGGTTCTGTCGTTTAATTCTTAAATTGCTCTGGATTATTTTTCTTCTTGTTAAATTTAATAATTTTTTTTAAAGAGAGCGCGGTGCAACAGAAATCTCATTTGAAGAGAGTGAAAGACGAGCCCTCCTGCTCAAAGAGTGGGGTCGWTACAAACAGGTTAACTTACTCCTTCAACCTTAAAGCAATTTTATCAAGTGTACTTATGACTTCTATCGTTTACTTAGTGATTTATGTTTTTGCTCTTACAGGAGCAGCACAGGGCTGAGATGGATGCCATTAAACATGCTTTGGAGGCACAGAGGCAGGCGCTGGAGGAGCTCAAGTTGGAGTCCGAAGAGCTGTACCAGGAAGCASTGAAGCCAGATCCACTTCTGTTTCCGTTCACACATGAAGGTCCTGTCTACACACCGCCCATCCCAAATTATTATCCTCCTGATGGAAAATAYAATGACATTACCAAAGTGTATACTCAGTGAAAGGTGGGGAACAGCTGTGGGTGAAACCTGTATTTTGTTTTCTTATTAATTTAGTGAACCAAGATGATGCCTGCCTGCAAATATAAGAATAAATTTCTTCTGTTATTAACTTCAGGGCTCATAGTTACATTATTTACTGTCACAAACTTTCTTTTCCATTTATTCTGCTGTTTAAAAGATACAAATTAAGTGTTTTTTATTAATCAAGTTTCTTTGCATTTTTTATACATTGTATTTAGGAGTTATTTTACAATGCTGAATCCACACCATTGAATTCAGTCCATCACAGAACAATAATTCATCAAGAACAGTGTATTTGGCAWCATTAGTTATCATGGCAAACAGTTGAAATGCTTCCCAGCTAMTCTGCACCTTGACACCACCTTACATAAAGTCTTCCAAGTGCAACATCAAGTTCTACCCACAGAAACACAACCCAAACCTCTCACATCAGGAATATTAACGTAAAACCTGATCCCCTAGCTTCTCAGTGCAGACACTCTCTGGCTTTAATAAAATGTGAAAGTTCACAAAGCACTTCAGGAGTTCTGTGGGCTTTCATGGYTTAAAGGCATGTGCCAGTCTCTTGGAGGCTCCCGCCTCAGTTTCCACACAGGAGTAAAGTTTCTTTGCTCTGCCACTCGACTCCGCTCACTTTTCTGCAACGCTTCCTGCAAAATAAAATTTAATAAAAGACTAAACATTCCTTACAACATTGAAACTRTAAGTTTAACTATTTTAAGAAAGTGATTTCCTGCACCTTAGCTTCTGCGTGTTTGTTCTTCTCCCACTCACTGCAGTTATAGTAGTCCTCTTTCCACTGGCGACAGGATGGAAAGAAACCGTAGGCATAATAGTGGTGAAAACGATTGCTGAAACTTTTGCAGTGTCTGAACTCACTCAGGTAGTCCTCACATGATCGCGGCGGCTGCAAGGACAAAGAAAATGACAAGTMATCAAACAAACATACAAAATTATGACACACTTCTTTATTTTAGCTGTATAGCTCTTTTATCTTGACATGTACTTGTACTTGACGTGTACGTTTTCTGTAAACCAGCTACTAGAGAGCAGAAACGAGAACAGAGTGAGCTAGAGGAGAATGACTTGCTGTCATGACCCCTGAGGGAAGAAAAAGCAAGAGACCTGGTTACATGCTAACAGACTATTTAAACAGTAATGTCAAAGTTAAACATCAATCTGAGGTAAACTAAACTAAACTCAATGACTTGACTAACTTAAAACTARTACCTTACAAATATTCAGTTTTGATATTGTGATCTCACTTTAAAACTCTTTTCCATTGTCTTTACATTAATTCTAAAGCTTATAACGTGCAATGTTAAATAAAATTAAAAACATTCAATCTTGTCAACAGCGCCCTCTTCCTGTCGTTAGCTTAGCTGAACATGAAGCGTCAGGTCCGCACAGTTCAGGGTRAAAATACTGAATTATTACAAGATATTCTCAAATATGACATACAAAATCAAATATYAAGGAAAAGCATAATTGTCCGCCACGTTTCGCGCCTCGGTTTGACGACATTATGCATATTTTTTAAGAATCGAGTCGGTTTGTTTCAGCAGTGAAAGCTAACCTTGCTAGCCAAGTTTCACTAAGTTAGCCTTTGTCAAACTTATATCTTTCAGAACAATAATTTCACACAAATATGCACACGCTGTTAAAAGTAATGCATATGTAAGTGTATTTCTGGATAAATTACCCTCCACGATGTTCTCGCCTCCCGATCCATCTTCAGTGGCTGGCTTCGAGATTACCACTTCCGGTTTCATTTAATTTCAAGATAAAAGCACCATTTCTCTGAAAATAACACCGTCCCCGTTGAACGCCTGATTTACTTTTGAACAAATCTTGTGACGTATGTGATGTTTCCATTTTCCAATTGTCTTTAAACATCTCATTTATTTTTGTCATAATATCCAATTATCAGAGCTAAATACCAAAAGAAAAATATATATATTTAATAAGTATTCAACCCATTAGACTCCCACATTATTTTGTTGACAACGTACAACTTTATAAAAACAAAGACACTTTCAAAACACAGTCCTTTATTTGTCTATAAATAAACAAAGCAAAAAAAAAGTTGCAAAGTATTTATGTGAACCTGGAAAAAAATCCAAACATAAAAATGTTTGATCAAAACTGAAGCAAAAGTATTATTGCTCCTGTTGTATTATAATATTGAGGATAATTTCTGATAAATCCAACAATTCTAGAGAATACAAGATGGTCAAAGTCAAAGTAATTCAAATTCTATGTAATAAACAATAAGTTTCAAGCTCGTCTGTATGTTGGAATACAAATTACAACTGACAGTGAAGCAGCTTAGCTTCTTCAGAGCAAAAACATTCCTGTCAAATGTGATCTTTAAAAATATCAAACATTAGCAAAGTCCCCACTTCAAAGAGACACAAAGACAAAACCTCAGTGTTTCTGAAAGCTTTTTTTTTACTTTGCTGTTTAAAGTGTCACACAAACCAAACCCTGTTTAGAATTGTTCAAGGCTTTCTGCCCTTCTTGCGTAATGACTGTCCTTCTCCAGAAAAGGCAATGAATCTGTTCATGGTGTCATCCTGAGAGAAAAGCAAAAAAAAAAAACATTTAGATGGAATGAGTTGGGAGTATTGTAGCAATTAATTCCTAATTAAATTAAATTAAAAACATCTTTAAGTGCCGATTCACACAACTTACTTCTTCCGCAATTTTTCTGGGCTGAGGTTTGGAGTTTCTGATGAAGGTGATYCGACCAACTTTAAAGTCGTAGTTTGGAATGCCTCTGAGAGACGAAGATAAAATGAGAAAATATGTTAACAGGGAACATATAAGTAAATTTAGCAGAGTCTGTCTAAAGTTTGGAGACTTCTTGCTAAARAAAAACACAAGAGACCTCTCTACAAAATGCTCCCTGCAACAAACGTACTCAATGATGCTACAATGTTTGGCTTTACAGTGGTTTCAAAGAAACGTCAAAATTGTCTAAAAATTATATCCTAAGCACAGACTTTATACAGCTGCAAAGTTCTATGATAGAAAATGTGAAGGTTAACATCTGCACGAGTAAAAGCTAAACAACTCATCACCTTTTGATGTCACTTGCGGCAAGAGGAGCAGGGCTGGGCTCAATCCCTTTTGTTTTGCCATCCAGGCGATTCCCAGAGCCGGTAAAAGCCTGAACATAAATAAATAAACAAGTCATTTGGACTCTTATACCCAGGGGCTGGGGCAGTTTGGTGTTCAGTGCTGTATAAACCCAAGGCTGCAGGTTCAAGCTGTGTCAGGGAGGTTATCTGACATGAAATGATTGCTAAATATTTCATGCGAGATTTCTCGCTGTGGCGACCACTGAAGAGAGCAGTCAGGAAAACAACACCAGGGATTTCTGAGTCTCAACATTGTTGCAATGAGCACTTACTCTGAATCCTGTGTCCATGTCAGCATAACTGCTGGTGTCTCCCCCTTCCTCCTGCCAAGAAATTAGTTTTACCACTTCGTTCTTCAGAGCATAAAATGTTTCTGTTTTTTTCATGGTTGGGATCTTACTGTTGGTTCTTCCTTGTTCTGAGATCGTCGCTCAGGCTCCTTGTAACCCAAAGGAGCATCAAAATCCACCTAGGAGACACAGCCACGACACTTATTTGAAGTTGTGATTGCAACAAAACAAGTCTGAGATAATAAAGGTCTTACRTTCATATCACACTCGATGATGGATACGGCTTTATCTGGTTTGGTCTCCATAACTCGCAGCTCATAGATCTTTTGTACAAACACAAATCCAATTAGCATAGTTACACAATACAGATATTTTTAAAAATATGTTTTTAATAAACTTATTTACCTTTTCGTTGTAGTTTATAGCTATGACATCACCAGTTGTCAAGCATGCAAAATTTCTCAGTGCATTCTCGAGGCTGAAATAAAAGGAAATTTTAGATGAACAAGTAAAATAAAYGCAATATTAAAACCAAGTCAAATAAACCAAATGATTTTTCTTACACTGCTTTGGGATTTGTAATGTCCAGGAAGTCWGGACTTTGAGGCTGGAACTTTGAATAGGTGGCCACCATGAGGTTTACACTTTCCACTTGGACCAGACCACCCTCCTCCAGGAGAAGATTCTGCATCATCTGCAACAAAACAGGCACAAATATAACCATATGTATGTGTTCATCTACATAGATCTACAATATCACGATCAACTGAGCGAGAGTAGAAAAGTCACAGTCTTGTTTTAGATCAGCATTTACTGTTTTCTGACCCAGTGTGGAAGGTAACAGATTCCCTCATCTGCGACAAACTCCAGAACACCACAGTGTGTCATTCTGTCTGAGTTCTTGTTGGTCAGCTTAAACAACATGGGGTAGGTGATGTTAAGTCTGCCTGTTCAGAAAAAAACAAACAATTATCACAGGGGGCAAAATGAAACAGGAAGAAAACGAAGATGTATACATACTTAGCTGATCAAGAGCTGAAGGTGGCATTATAACTGAAAAAAGAAAGAAATGTTATTTTTTTGGATAAAGATTTATTTTAAAAATAAACTTTTGTATTAGTGATGACAATGTAATGTCCAACTATAAACAGATCGAATTTAATGTGTAATGTTTCAGTAAAACAAAACAAACGAAAAACAATCTTARACTATCCTTTTCGTGCTTATTTTTCTTCAGAGCACACAACGGAACACTGAAGTGACTGACTGAACGAAGCTACACGCTGTTGTTTATTTTACAGGACTCACTTTTGCCTCCTTTCTCTACATCGGAGCGGTCGTTGGGTCCAGCCAGCATWGACACCGAGTAGCAGCGGTACTGAGTGGAAAAGCGGCTCTGAAAGCCCCGGGCCATGGGGTGGTCGAAAACATGGTGGAAGGAAAACTATAGGGTAGAAAACACACGACAAATAAATCATTTTTAATAGTGCTGCGTGGTTTGGAAGGAACCAGGTCGAACTTTCACGATCATGACAGGGCAGCTTTACGCTCTGTTGTTGTTAGCTTAAGCTAGCTTARCCGCTACAACACTTTATTCTTATACGAACTTCTTACTGACAGTAAACAGTAGTTTGGCGGTTCTTACCATGTTGATGTCGATGGTCTTTTAGTTGTAAAATTAACAACACTGGATTTAAATCGTCTGTTGTGGATTTGCTRTTTATTCTGCGTCTTGTTTTCCTGCACTAACAGCAGGAGGAAATGACGTCGTGACTAACGCTAACCAATCACGGCCGCGGATTGTCGTGATGCGTTCAGGTGTAATCATGTTCATCTGTTTACTTTGAATAACTTAAAGGGGAGGAAAACCGTAAAGTTTACAATCATAAAGTGGTTGCTTAGCTTTATTAAGTGAAAATAAGGAAATATGTTTTATTTATTATCTCGTGGACAATTTAGTTGATGAAAAAGATGATTTTTCTTCCTGGATTACTGAGATGTATGGGAACATAGCTGATGCTTACTGTAGAGTTTTAATCTGGTCTTTGAACATTTTTAAAACAGATATTAAGATTTACAAAGCAAAGCCCATTTGTTTACAACTTTTACAAAAAGACCATAGAGAAAAAATACAGAAATCCAATACATTGATTGTATCTGATAAATCTGATTGTTAAAAAAATACTTTTTTAAAATCTTGACCATCTTTTTCTCAAACAACCCCTGACTGGTAAATCATGTCCACTGTCTGAAATGTATTTGTCCTTCTTCTAAACCATGTCATTATTAAAGTATATAAAATGGACAGATATGAAATTAATTCTTTTTCATCTTTCAAAACACATGAAGTTTGATACAATGGTTAATTCCTTTTTACATTTTTGTGAGTCACAGATGATAGGAAGCAGAAATAAATCCAACACCAGTTTCTGTCACATCAAAATTTTATGAAGTCTTATGAAGACCAAAGTTAGATAAAAAATTACAAACAGCAACACGATGATAAAGTTATTATAGAGCACTGACAGAAATGTTTCTTTAATGAAATAACTATTGGTAGTAGACACAACATACAAAAAAAAATCTAAGTAAATTAGGTGTTGCATTATTGTAATTATATAACATTATTGTTACACTTTGATCAAATGTTTAAAAACAGCAGAGTTTGAGACTTTCTTTGTAGAAGTCGGCTCTGTTGCCGGTCTTTAAACAGGAGGCCAGAATTTAGCCACTTCCTGGTGCAAGGCCTCAGGCAACCACTGGCAGTATGCAGACAACAGAACTGTTGACGAAGGGAAACATAACACACAAAAGAATTAGACAACAAATCAAAACAAAAATAAGTCAACCACTTTAAATACTTACATTTTTCTTCAGTCTTCCAGGCAGAGAGGAGCGCCTCTCTGCGGTCAATCTTCTTTGACACCAGTGGTCCCAGTAAGGCCTCCGTTCTCGGCTGTAGTCTAAAACAACATAGTTTGATTTACAGCTAGAATCACTTTTTTTGTTCCCAAGTCAGAGTTTTACTGAACAAGATCAACTTACTTTGCCCACGTTTTCATCAAGATGGAGGGGTTTGAGAGAASGTGGCCAGTGTGTTTTTTAAGTTTGGGACAAACCTGTTAATCAGAYAAAACAAACATGAGATACAAACTTCTGTCAGGTGCAAGAATAATTATGGGGTGTCACATTTGTGGGGCACACMTCTCAGCTGGAGATGTTATTAATAATTTACTGAGGTTATATAGCTGTGGGGTTTTTGTACCTGTCCCTCAAGTAGAAACCTGGCGAACAGCTTGTAGCGCTCCAGACCCTCTGGATACTCCACCTCCACTGCAGGGAGCTTCCAGCCAACACGAACTGAAGGAGACACACAGAAATGACTAAAGACATGAGCACAACCCCGCTCCCCCCCATCAGCTCCTGACACGTACAGAAGGTGCTTGGCCTGTGACATCGGATGGTGCCGGTGGAGGAGCAGAAACTTGGTGCCGGCTTCTCCAGGGGAGGACTGAAGTGACAGTACTGAGGCAGGAACTGTGGGATCCACTCAGGTTCGACTGCTGACACACCTGACAGGAGGAACAGAAGACTTTCCTTTGACTGGGCTGATGAACACTCTCCAGACTGACGCGTTCTTACTGGATTTTCCATTTTATTACCTCTCATGTACATTTTGGAGGTCTCCATGATCTCCTGGTAGACGACGAACTCTGGCAGTGTTTTAAACAGAGCAGAACTGGGATGAATGAACACTGGGTCGTCCATGAGAGGWGTCTGCAAAACGGATAAAAGCGAGGAGGTGAAGAGGAGARAAGGTTAAATATGTTTGTCTAMATCACAGCCTGTAACCGGGGGCTCACCTTGTATCCGTTCTTCCATTTGGGGTCCAACACGTCCTCGACTTGGGCTCGCCTCGCCACATGGTCTCCCAGTCCGGCCAGAACGATCTGTCGCARACAAGTCACCTGATGTTCTGTTGGCGGAGTCATCTTAGGATCCACAAACACTCCCACCTCTGGGCACACTGAGTTCACTGAGAAAAAAAAATTATGTGTAAAATGTTGTGTTTCTGCAGCACATCTGAGATGATTACAATCTGTGTTTGTGTACCCGCATTGGTAAGTTGACCTCGCAGCCTCCGGATCTCCAKCATGGCTTTATACCTGAGTCCGTTGTCCTCACAGAACCTGGGAGTGCAGCCTGCATATTCACAAGCACCGACAGCACCTGCAGCCACACGGTTACAGAAATGTTGATCATATTTAACATCTGGACAGCCGTCCATTGTGTAGAAAACTGAGACAATGGGCCTCATGCAAGAATCGTTTGTACGAACAGATTTGTTCTTAAGTTGTGCATACGAGTGATTTAGGAGAATTTGTGGC